ATTGGACACAATGAAAAAGAATAGGATTATTTTTGAAATTATTAAACAAGATATTTACAGTTTATCACTCTGTCCCACTATAGCCAATTTAGGGCACTGAATAAAGTGTTAGGTTATCACTCCTCCGCATTATCCCCCCCCCGCCCCCCCCCCCCCCGGAAAAATTCTTGAAATATTGATGTGGGAATAAAAACAAATTTTTTTTGCCGCATCAATTATTTTAACAGCATAACACAATGCTATTTTATGACTTCAGATGCATTTCTTTAAGAAAACTATAAAATTAAACCAATTTTTATACAATATTTACATGGCCTATTACTAGCCAAATATAAATAGTCCCTCCCTCATCAATAAAAACAAAAGCGCAATAACGAATTGTTCTGATTTATAAAAAATAAATAAATAAATAAATAAAACAAACAAACAAAAACCGCCCTCCCTCATCGTTTTTTTTAAAGAGTGATAATCTAATAATTTTTTTCTATGTGCTCTTAGCAGCCATTGAACACAATGAAAAAGAAAAGGATTAACTTAGAAAATATTAAATAAGACGGTTGTACTTCATCACTGTGTCTCACTATAGCCAATTTGGCAATCATTGGACACAATGGAAAAGAATAGGATTTTTTTTGAAAATATTAAACAAGATATTTATAGTTTATCACTGTGTCCCACAATAGCCAATTTAAGGGACATAGGAAAAATTATTAGATCACTATTTTTTTTTAATCAGAACAACTGCTTCTTTTAATAGATGAGGGAGGGACTTTTTTTATTTGGCAAGAATATTGTATAAAAATAGGTTTAATTTTTATTGTTTTTTTTTTTTAAAGAAAACGTATTTCCAATCACAAAATTACATTGTTTTTTATGCTGTTGAAAAAATGATGCGGCCAAGAAAAAGAAACATTTTTAAAAATTTCCGCATCAATATTTGCCAATTTTGTTGACGCGGGCTAGAGTGATGATCTAATAATTTTTTTGTATAGGCATAATTATGATCTGTTCATTGTGCGTTCGATTTCGATAATGATAGAAATGATAGGAACACTGTATGATCAATGTGCGCCAAAATAAATAGATGATTAACATAAAAAGTATGATGCCGTTTATTTGTACAATACTGCTATTGTTTCTAAAATTTGACGGAGTAATGTAGTTCATGTGGTTATCATTGGAAAGTTATTGATCTATTAGTAAATTCTATAATCTGGTTGTTGTACGCATATACATATATTTTTTACATTTTTCATTTTATTTCTTTATTCATGTTCTTTGCAATTTATGACAAAGTAAACTCAACCATACATATTCAAAAACAGAGCGACGAAAAGGACCTCCACGAAACTCTTAGGAGCTTTTAAAATGGAGACCCGGTGTTAAAATTAAAGTTTGTTTAGACATAAAGACAGTATATAACTGCCTAACTAAAAAGATACACCCCCTCTCACCCCAACAGTCATATTTATTTTATTTACATTTATTTTGAACATTGCCATTAGGACATTGTTTAAATCTACACTAGCCTATATTTTACACTGATTGTACTGTCGGCAATACCAGAGACGTTAATTCCCATTACATTATGGTCTTCCATTTCTATAGCGCATAATACAGTGCATGACAAACGTCACATAACCACTACTAATTCCACCTTAATTCGGAGTCACTCAGCTCAG